AATTAAATATCATAAATAAACAGTATATAAAATATTTGAAGAACTGGTCACCAAGGGGTGGTGTCGCAGTTGGCTAGCGCGTAGGTCTCATAGCTTCGAGTTATCCTGAGGTCGAGAGTTCGAGCCTCTCTCTCACCCCAATGCTCTTTTTTTTTTTAATGTTTTTTAATTAAATTTAAAATGGGAGGTTTCTTTTTGGGGCTTTAATGGGCTTTTATCGACCTGGACAAAAGGCCCAAACTAACCATTGTTTTAGCTTGAGTATTATTATACATTACTTGTAACCTTAAATATTATTATAAAGGAATCAAGAATCCATATTTGGTCCAAATAAAAATGCTAAATAAATAATTGCTGCCACGTCATCTTAACACATCCAATCATTTGGTCAAAAACTGTCGCCTTCACTTGACCAATCAACAACAAACAATTACAGAAAAATAATGATTTAAATTTACGGATAATAATACGGGACTTCAAATAATTATTATTTTTTTTTCATTTTTATTTTTTAATGATGAGAAAACTAAATTTCAGAAATGTAAAGGGAGACGTGGATTAGAAAAAGTCCACGTCAGCGCAGACGTGTGGAATACAAAGGGCGAGAGCAATAAATGATTAGGGTTGCTAAGGCGTGATTTTACAGACAAATTAATTAATTAATTAGTTAATTAATGAATTAATGAATTAAGAAGTGATTACGAAATGCGCGAGGCGCCATCAAGTTCTTGAATGCCGCGTGTTTGGTAAGGCACACTGCTTTTCAAAGATGCGGTTCTCTTAATTTGAGCTTTCATTTCCTATTTATTTATTTATTTATTTATTTATATACCAATTTATAATTTTATAATTACTTAAATCCCACATTTTAAACACACTTGTTCGACTTTTCAAAATCCAACCACTTTTTTTTTTTCATATTTTATTTATATATTTTTTATGATTTTTTATGATTTTTTAGAGGAACTTTAAATACTAGAAATGAAAATTATTAAAAAAAAAAAAAGGGGTGAGATTATACACAATTTTTAAATGGTTATAAAACGGGATAAGAACAAAGGGTAGAGGTGCATAAAAATAAATTAAAATAAAATAAAAGATGATAAATAATGAATTAATACCAATAATGAAATTAAAACAAAATTGATAAAATCAATCAAATAAAAAAAAACAAATTAATTAAATTGGCTCAACTAACGAAATCAACATCTCTAAAATTGATTATACAATTGATAAAATTGACTCAAACCAACCGAATGCCAAATTGACCGCCACCTCTTAATTTATGTTATATTAATTGCTATATAATGATATATATAGAGGGGGTTTCATTTTTTTAACTTCACTTAAAAAAGTCCCAAATTATTAGGGTTGTAACGTTATTAATTTAAATACTCGTGATCTTTTCTTTATCTAAAACAAACCTTCTTTTTCTATCGCTCTTTATGATCTTAAGAGCATTGGCCGTCATGACCTAAATAAAACACTTTCAACCGTTTTATATAAAACTAATATAACATAAACCAAGATGCACCGTTGGAGCTGCTGCATATTTATTAGCTTATTAGATTGTTATACATAGTAAAACTATATATATATAGAAGATAATCATATACACTAAACTACTATTTATAATATAATAAAAAATTGGTATAGTTATATAAGGAGATAGTTACATTAAATTGAACTATATATATACCTTTAGTTAGTGATTTGAAGACATATTCTCCTTATATGAAATGATCAATATAAAAATTTAGTCAAACACACGGTATTTAATATTGTGACATTATGGTTAAGTATCTGGAGACTAATGCAAGGAAGAAGACACCTTAGTACTAGGAACAAGATTGCCTCTTAGTTGGTAATGGTTTGGTCTTGTTTTGATACCATCGCAGTGGTGAGAGAGGGGAGAATTTAAGCAAGCAATTAAGAAGACACAAAATTGGGAGCTAACGTACATGAATGTAATAATTATAGGACTGTGTCCCAAACCAAACGAACCCATAAAATGATATAAAATGGCCCGCACGAGTGAGTGGTCGGCTCATTCCTTACACTCAAAAACTCCCCTTTTTTCTGTTCTGTTCTCTTGGCTTCTTCGTAGCTTCCCAGCCAAGACCAAACCCAATTCCAAATCCAAATCCAAATCCAAATCCAAAGCCCCTGCACCCACCAACCAACCAACCAACAAACCATATCAAAATTTTGAATCATACCCACTTCTTAATCTTTCAATTCCCATAATAAAAACCTTTCCTTTTTCAAAACCCATAAAGAATATCGACTCTTTTCACGCTACCCACCCACTCCCCATGCCTTAAATATTCTTCTTCTTCACTTCACTTCTTAATCTCTCTTCATTTCGCTTTTTCCTTCCTGGGTTTTCTTTATTTCTTGGTTTTTCCAAATGGGTTTGCTTCGATTCTTCAAGAAATCCAAACTTTCTCATAAAAAAACCGTTCTTGACCATGTTTTTTTTGCTGCTGGGAAGTTCCGGTGGACTGAGATCGAGGCTTTTACTAATCATTTCTCCACCGTCGTCGGCTCCGGCGGCTTTAGCAAAGTGTATCTTGCTCGGATGACAGCCGGAACGGCGGCGGTTAAGATTTTGGGAGGTAGTGAGCGGCTCAATCGGATGTTCCGGCAGGAGTTGGACATTCTCCTTCAGCTCCGGCACCGAAATATTGTCGGTTTCATTGGCTATTGCGATGAAGGAGGTGAGAAGCTGAGTAACTATTTTTTAAAAATGTTCTTGTTTTCTTGAGTGGAATTGGGTTTACTTTCGGAATTTGATTCGTTTAATTAATACACTCTTTTTTTAATTAGATAATGCAAATGAAAAGTCTAATTTTTTTTGTTAATTAATTAAATTTGTATTAGTGCTTCAAAATTAAAGTAGTTTTCTTCCCATTTAGAGAGGAAAAGAATAAAGGAAAAAGAATGATAATGGATAATACTTTCTTTTCGAATAAAAATCACTTTGCCCGAACCGGCTCAACCCAATTTGGGTCGGTCTTTAAAAATGAAGTGGTTCAAGTTTGAACCAAATTTAAAGACAAGTTTATGATAGGCTGAATCCGGGTCGAATTTAATTTAATAATTCGAGTTTAGCTTAATTAATATTCCAATGATTAAAGTATAGTTTAAATTCTAAAAGTGAAATTCAATGAAATTGCAGATTTAGGAGCTTTAGTATTCGAATATGTCCCAAATGGGAATTTACAAGAGAAGCTCCACAGCCGACCGGCGGCGGCGGCGGCGGTTCTGCCATGGGAAATCCGGCTGACCATAGCCTTTCAATTAGCCCAAGCAATCGAATATCTCCACGAGAAATGCAGACTCCAAATCGTTCACAGCGATATAAAATCTTCAAACATTTTACTCGACGAACGATTCAATTGCAAATTGTGCGATTTCGGCTCTGCAAAAATGGGATTCTCGTCGGCGGTGGCGAATCAGTCGTCGTCGCCGCCGAGCCCTTTCAGAGCAAAGCAATTGATGATGGGATCCCCTGGTTACACAGATCCCCAATACTTACGAACCGGAATCGCTTCAAAAAAGAACGACATTTACAGTTTCGGCGTCGTTCTTTTAGAGCTAATCACCGGAAAAGAGGCATTCTGTTCGGAAAAGGGTCAGATTTTAACTTCAATTATACCGCCGAAGGTGCGCCACGGTGGAGGAATTACACCGTCGGCAGTGGTGGAGCTAGTGGATCCACGGCTTCGGGGGAATTTCGATGGGGGAGAAGCGGGAGCCTTGCTCTCAATTGCGACGGCCTGCATATCGCAGCCGCCGGCGCCCAGGCCGACGATCGGTGGGGTACTGCAGATGATGAGGGAGCGGATCGGGAAGATGAGCGGAGACACGTGGCAATAAATTATTGGGAAATGAGCTGTGGTAAAAAGTGTAAATATGTAAATGGGTTGAGGGTTTTTTTTTTGGAGTGGAATATTTGTTTGTTTGAGCAATTAATTCAACTGTATAACTATAACATATTCAAAATTCATATGTTTATGGTAATATGTATATCTTTATGTCACACCAACTTTTAGCATGCAAAATAAAACAATAATAATAATGAAAAATATTAGAAAATTTGGTCACCATTATTGAGACGCTTAATGTACTATCTTAATGCTTCAACGCTCGATGTCAATCAAAGATAAACGTACATAAAAACCTTTTCGATTCTAGTGACTATGTTGCAACATTACAACTTATTTCTGTAAAAGTATCTTTAAGTAAGTGAGCGATAAGGCCTCACGGGTGAATAGGCATTACCCCAAATGAGTAATATCAAATTGAATCTCGAGTTTGGTAATAATTTAGTTTGGAATATCAATTTTTTTTTTTCAAAAAAATATTAATTAATATTCCAAACCTATCCGTTAATTTTTGTCATCACCATGAATATTATAATTGGGCCGAGCTGATTGGCCCAACCATATGAAATGTGGGCCAAAGATGGGCCTGAGCTTCAATCATTTTCTGGGCTAGACTCAAACTGGTCCAGCCTAATGTCTAGACCTAGTCCATGAGACTATCTCATTGGAGCAAGATTTTATCTGTTAATTTTTAAAAAAATAAAAGAAATTAAAAAATCACTCCCCTCCTTAAAAATTTATAAAAATAACAATTCATTAAATTTTAAAATTGATTGATTTAGCCCTTTTAGAATTTAACTATTTAGCGGTTATAACAATTTAGTCTCTCAACTTTAATATATAATAATTTGTAAAACGTACTTTTTGAATTAGAGACACACGAGGGTTGGGAACGTGAGTGAGTCATTACATTATCCAATAAGATAGCTACGTTAAAAACTGTTGTATATGAATTGAATAATTGACGTATGAATATATGACATATATGACGTCGAAATTATCAACTAAACTGGACGAGCAGGAATGAAGACGATGCTAGCAACAGAAAACAACATTCAATAATTTCTTAGTAATAGTAAACAAAGTTTATTATATGACAAAGGTGATAAGAAACCATAACAAGTGTGTGAACTCAATTCAAAGACAGCAACAACAAGAGAAGCAAGCAAACACAATAACAATAAAACACACACAAACATAGCAATTCAGGCGACGATCTTCAAGTCTCATCCATCACCAATCGCCTTATCTTTATTCTTCCACTAGTCACACACCCATTACCCTGATTACAATGGCCGACGGCCGTTATCAGCGGCGGAAGCTCCTCACCTGAGACGGAGCATCCACTTCGTCGTCTCGCAGCTTCACAGCGGTGTAAGTTCCCGCGCCGACGATGGCTCCCAGCGTTGGTGCCACTAGATACACCCATAATGCTCTGTAATTTCCGGCAGCCACGGCGGGGCCCAATGTTCGAACAGGGTTCATGGAACCACCACTTGAGGGCCTGAAAAACATAAAGTTATGATTGAGAATTGTGTGAATAGGATCTTTAGTTATTGAATTCAATTCTTTATTGAGGCTTGGTTTAGCAAAAAGTTGGCAAAAGATTGGATTTTTAAGATGAAATCATATTATCTCTAACTCACCCGGCCACAAGAATGTTCACCATAACTGTAGCTCCAACTGCAATCCCAGCCAACTCTCCCACCTGTAACAAAAAGGACCATAATTTGTTAACGGTTGGATGATGAAAGTCACACATCGGCTAATTTAAGGAATGATCGTGGGTTTATAATCAAAGAATACTCTTTCAATTGGTAGTGACGCCTTTTGGGGAAACCCAAAGCAAAGTAGTGGACAATATCATACCGTTGTGGAGAGTCGTGTTCGTCTAATATTAACAACATGATTAGCGTACCACGGATTGTTAAGAGAGGAATCCTAGATCGGCTAATTTAAGGATTGATCATAGGTCTATAAGGAAGGAATGCATCTCCTTTGGTATCATAGGTTCTATACTCAAAGTGGATAATATCATACCACTTTGAAGAGCCGTGTTCCCCTAACATGGTATCAGAGCTATACCCTTAACCTAACCACATCAATAGAATCTTCAAATGTCGAACATAGAAGTTGTGAATCTCAAAGATATAGTCAAAAGTGACTAAAGTGTTGAACAAAGGATATACTTTATTCGAGGACTCTAGAGAAAGAGTCGAGTCTTAATTAAAGGGAGACTGTTTGAGGGCTCCAAAGGCCGTATACTTTGTTCGAAGGGAGGATTGTTGGGAGACGAATTCCACGTTGGTTAATTTAAGGGATTGATGGTGAGTTTATAAGTAAGAAATACTTCTAGTAGGAGAATTTTTGTTAAACCAAAAGTAGAGTCGACAGTATCACACCATTATAGAGAAGTGTAGTTCCTAACAAATGTAAGATGGTTATAGAAAGTGTAGTTACCGCTCGAGTATCGGTTGCGACGGCGGTGACAACGAACAAGAGATTGAAAGTGATAAAGAATTCAAGAGCGAAGGCTTGGCCGGTGCTGACAGAGGGGACGGTGACGCCGCCAGACATGAAAGGGTGAAAAACACCTTTAAGAGCAAAAGAGGCGCAAATGGAAGCAGAGACCTGAGCAGCGATGTAGGCAGGGACTTGGACCCATGGGAAGTGGCGGAGAGCGGCGAAGGCAATGGTGAGCGATGGGTTTAGGTGGGCGCCGGAGATGTGTCCAGTCGACAGAATTACGATCATTACGGCCAGCCCGGCACACGCAGCGTTTCCGATCAGAGTCTCGGCGCCGTTGTACTTCTGATTCACAATGGGTCCTGCCGTCGCCGCAAATATCAGGATGAATGTTCCCACGAATTCTGCTCCCAACTAAATTTCAGTCAAACAAATAATTAATTTAGCTTCTCAATAAATAAATAAATAAATATATATATAATTTAACTTTTAAATAAAAAAAATATATGAAGAGAGTTCTTTCGTTATGAATTAATAATTTTATGGGGAACAATAATTCAATCCAAGTCAAAAACTTTTATTTATATATATATATATATTTATTTACTGCAAAAACGAAAGTGATAAGACGGAATATTAAAATCCTATTTTATTTCATTTCGTTCCAAAATATTTATTTATTTTTAATTCCTAATTCTTTATTATTTTTAATCTATATACCCTTAAGAAAATATTGACAATTTTAATTTTAATTTCATGATTGAATTCAAATAAATTGATAAATAAATAAAGCACAATAATACTAAAATTAAAAGATATCTATTCTAATATATTAATTCAATTAGCCTACTTTTATATATATTTTAAAATATATAAAAATAATGCTTAAAAGAATGGGATTAATAATTAAAATAGGCTAATAATGAGGATTAAAATATAAATTAAAGGCATAAAAATAATAAATAATAATAAATAAAAAAAAAGAGAGAGAAAATGGTACCTTGCGGGTGAGAGAAACATCAGGAACAGGAAAGTCAGTGAAGCACGTGTGAGGCTGGCCCCACGTGGGAGCATTCACGGGCAAGCACTTACACCGCGGCATTGACTTCCGATCGTACGACAACGAATCCACCCGCAAGCCAGAAAACAGCGGCCCTCCCGGCGTCCCCGGCGTGGCCGGAGCCGACGGCACCGGCGTTCCACTTTCCGATTCCGGCATTTCCTCCTTTTTTTTGGATAAACAAACTTGTGGGTATTAAAAAAAATCAAATTTTTTTTTTGGGTTTTTTGTGGGAAACGGTGGGGATACGAAGGAAACGAAGTTACATGATTTTGAGGCTTTTATAAAGGTTGATCTAAGGCAGAATTGGAAGCTCAGCCAGGATAACAATAAACTCTAGAGTTCTCTTACTCTTGGATCGAAAATCAAGAACTGAACTGGGTTTTGTTTTTTTTTTTTGGGTTTTTTTGGGAAGAGGGCTGGTCTCAAAAGGGGCTGAAATTACATGATTTGGAGGCTTTTATAAATGTGTAGCTAAGGAAGATTTGGTGGGTCTAGCAAGAACATCCAACAGAAGAAGGAAGCTTAGAAGCTTTGAAGGAAGAAAATGGCGGACATGAAAGAGAGAAACAACAGCGCTGCAAATTAGAGTAGCAATGGAGAGGAGGAAGAGGAAAGAGAGGAATTTATACAGAGGAACGAACACCAATGAATATTTGCTTATTTATTTATTTATTTATTTATTTATTTTGATGTGAAATATTGTAATGAAAAACTAGTTGATATAATTAATGGAAGAAAGTCAATGGCCATCCATTTTTGTCTTCATACACCTCCTTTGCTTACCGCAATAATGGCTGGGCGGGGCGAGGAGGAATTTCTTATTTTTCTTTTATTTATTTATTTATTTATTTATTTATTATTGTAAATTAACTCTTAACCCAAAATTTAAATTGGTAAAATTGAATTTTTGTTTTTGTTTATAATATAATTAAAATAATAGAAGATTTGTCGCGTGTTAAAATATTTAATAAAAATGTAAGAACCGGTATATTAGCAACATATTATATAATTGTAATATGATAAATATGTAAATATTACACATGTATTATATTTTTATTAATTAAATAGTATATTAATGATCTAATAAAAAAGTGGCAAATAATTGATTTAGGAGAGAAAATTTTCATATTTTGAATATTGGTAACCAATTTTGACTCCTATTTTAATTTCTCTAAAATAATATTTTTTTAAAAAAAATTAAATTAAAAGCTTAACCTAATCCATATGCATAATTTAGTGAGTTTAGAAATCTCCCATTTTCAAAAATATTTATTTATTTTTTAATTTGAATATTCATATAAACGTTTTAGAACGTCTCATATGACATAACCACCACGTTATCTACTTGACTTATAATATTTTTAGAAGTTCAAACTATCCCCACGTATTAACTTGGATTCTTTTAACATATTTCGTCCTCACTTACATACTTGCCAGTAAAATTTTTATAAAGTCGTCTATGAGATCTCACATCAGTTGAAAATGGGAACAAAAAACATTGGTTACAAGGATATGAAAACCTCTCTTTAGTATATGCATTTTAATACGGTGAGGCTGACAGCGACATGTAACAAGCTAAAGTGAACAATATCTGCTAGCGACTTGGGCCGGGGTAAAATGGAAGAAAGTAAAGCATAAAATGAAAGGAAGAAATAAAGAAGTGATCCTCTCCTTTTGGGTTAAACAAGAATGCAACGCAAAGGTTTGTTAGGGCGCACATGCATTCTAATCTTCCCATTGCCTTCCCAATTACCCAATAATAATTAATTATTTAATTAATTAATTAAAATAATACCCACCGCCCACCAACGACTCAATAATGTAACTTCAAATAAAGTGTTCATTGTTTCGTCACCAAACTAAGCATTTTTTGGCCCTTTCAACCAAGCTTCCATCACTTTATCTTTTATCATCTCTCTCCCCATATCAACACATTTATTTTACTAAATAAATATTTATTCTTCCCGCCATTTTTGTTGCTCGTGATCGTAGATAGATCACGTGACATGATGATACGAAATGCTAAAGAATTAATAGTTAGTAATTATATTAACAAGGTGTATCTTTCTGTTAGCTAACTCAACTCTAAAAATTTCAAAATTAAGTGTACTTAGAACCGGAAGTGAACTATATTTTGTTTTAGAGATATTCATTTAATTTGTGGGATCGAGCCTCACTAAGACCTACCCCTGAATGGGGGTGGAAAATGCTCGTTTAAACAAGGAAAGATGGAGAGATTGGAGGAGGGGAGAATTTCTCTTCATTAGCTAAATAGGGACGAGGACGAAGATTACGTTTACTGTCCTTACCTCATCTAATCTAATCTCCGCTCTTTTTAGCTCATTATAAATTAAAAAAAATGAAAGAATTCATGAAAATAAGAATGATTCATTTACTCGATTGTGGGGTGAGAGTGTTAATTAAATTAATTTCATCGTGCTAGAGCTAATTATTATTATTATTATTATTTTTAATTATTAATTCATCATTGTCAATGCTTTTCATAAACCATCCTTCTAAGTAATCATAGGAGTGAGAAAGAAATAAACGGCCAAAAATGAGTTTGTTTTATTTTATTTTATAGATTATTTTAATTTTTTTAACCAAAAAAATACGTGGACTTGGAATTTTGAACCTTTCACTAATTCTTAAATTATGCATGTTGAGTTTCTTTTATTAATGGTTGAACAATAATTTAGTTATTGCTTTTATTTTATTGCTAATGGTTTTATTAACGTACACATAGAATGTTTATGGGTTATTATGATCTTTTTCTAATTTTTTTTTTCAATTCAAATAATTTTTATTAAACAATAAATCTAACTCATCAGCCCAACTATAAAATATTTTGGTCTGGTTCATTCAAATAGTTCGAGTTGTTATTGATTATGAAACTAAAAAAAAATATATATTTACAATTTAGCCTCGTGTTTAATGTTTAGTAATATGGATTGGTTTCATTTAATTACAAAAATTAATTCATTAAAAAGAAAAAAAAAGTTTAAGAATAAAGGGGTTATTGTGATTGAAGGCAAATGTAAAAGAGCAAAAGTGAAAAGGAATTAAATATTTTATTGACATAAGTCGGTAGAAAATAAAAAAAAATTGATCTGATGGCGTCCTTTATAAGACTCACCTTTTATTGATAGAAAAAAGACACGGCTAGCTATATGACAAATTAGATAATTGAAAACATTCGAGAGAGAACTTTCAAATAATTCATCGATACTGCATAATGCAAAATAATTGCGATGTATTATAAAGATAAGAAATGAAAAAAAAAAAAGTTATTTTTGAATATATTCTTATTTTGTCCTCTGGGCTTTCTCTTTCCAACTTCTCCTTAAAAAATTTTAAAACGGAGAATTCTTAAACAAAAATAAGTATTTATTTAATTATTTTTTATTTATTAGAGTTAGCAATTTGAGGATTTCATCCTTTTATCGAAGTCAATAGAATTAAATTATTTTTAAAAGTTCTGAATATTTAATACAATTATAAATCCGCAATAATTGAGAGATTTAATGTTAAATTAAATCATACAAAAAGTCTTAACACCATTTTGCAACGAAAAGCATTTAAAACAATATATATATTTTCAATATAATTTTTGTTTTGTTTTGTTTTGAAATAAAACTCACGACCAATGACAGCCATTATAATAACATTATCGTACTCACGAAGATAATTTTAAAAAATATATTCAGAGGCATTTAAAAAATAGTTTGAAAAAAAGGTGACGTCTTCATAATAATAAAATAATATTAATATGAATTTTATGTCAATTAATTCATTTTGATTTCATTATACATTCTTCACATTTTAATATCTTAAATATATATATAAAAAATATATACATTAAGTTAAAAATATTAAATTTGAAAAAAAAAAGAGAGAATGGTGGGGAGATGAGCATAATCAGAGAATGCTTCGGCCATTAATACTTAATCACGTTCTTAACATCTTTAATTACTTATCTTAGTCCCATTAATTTGGAATCTTTTATTTATTTATTATTATATTTATTTATTTGACAACGCCTAGACTCCAGTCCAATCTTACACGGCGATGTAGGCGGCAAGACAACAAGCCAGCCCAATTTATTGAATTTCTAATTATTATTATTATTATTATTATTATTATTATTATTATTATTATTATTATTTTTAATTTGACTCCCTAAAATTAATTAAATTTTGGAATACATTAATAAAATCAGTGTATATTGTTGATTTTATGTCCACGTCCCAAACATATTTTTATTTATTTATTTATTTATTTATATAAAATTATAGGATTAAAAGTTATAATTTATGGGGAACAAAACATAGTGGGAATGTGTTTTAAATAGGAAGATTAAATGATGATTCTAAGAATCCAAATAAATATTAAAAAGGAAAAAAAGGAATTTCAAGTGAAAATGTTTTGTATTATGACTTTCACAATTTTAATTATTGTTATTATTATTATTATTACTATGATTATTTATTTATTCTTCTACTTTAATTTTGGACCACTCCTTAAACATCCACTTTTTTTTTTAGAATAAAATTTTGATTAACTTTTGAAAATATATTTTATTTTATTTGAAGAACATTGAAAAAGAAAAGAAAAAAAATAAATAATACTATTTAAATATTCTTCTAAAGCACCTTAAAATATTTGGTTCATGGAATGTTTGGTGGGTGTTTATAATTATAACAAAATAATAATAATAATAGTGAATTAGAAATTAAATATAATTAAATATTTTTTATTATTTGGAATATATATAATAAAATTTTTGGAATGAGTTAAGAGGAAGAAAAGGGGTATGGAGGATGATGGAATAAGGTTTGACTATGGAATAGTGTTTTATGTTTTAATTAATTAAATAAATAATTAAAATAAATAATTGGTGGTGGAAAATGTTGATCTCCATCATCATCATCATCATCATGGTGGTGTTGTTGTTGTTCTATCTTTTTTCTCACTTTATTTTTCTTATTCTTTCTATTCTCTTTTTTGTGATCCTTTCGTTTGGAATTGGACGCAACAACGGTTGTTTAATGGAGCGCATCATTATAGCATATCATTTCGTTTCGATCTTCCCAACATCAATGGCTTACAATTAACGGTTCGCACAACTTTTTACCCCACTCTTAATCTCGTTCTATATTCAGTACGTTTGGTATAATTCTTCAAATTTAGTCTCTATAGTTTTAAAAGGTGTGAGATCTTTCATTGGTTGGAGAGGGGAACGAAGCATTCGTTGTATATAAGGGTATGGAAACCTTTTCCTAGTAGTCGACTATGATTATAATAACCCAAGTCCACCATTAGCAGAAATGGTTCTCTTTGGGCTTTCTGTTTCGTGCTTGGCTTGAGCTGTTACAAATGGTACCAAAGCCAAACAATGGGTGATGTGTCAGCGATGAGGCTGAGCTCTGAAAATGGTTGGACACGAGGCGGTGTGTCAGTAAGGATGGTGGGGCCCGAAGGGGGTGGATTGGGGGAGTCCAACATCGATTGGAGAATGGAATGAGTGCTAATGAGGATGTTGGGCCTTGACAGTATGCTTGCAAGGATGCTACACACCGAACTTGGACTGTTACAAATGGTATCAGAGCCAG